TTTTTCAATGGGGGGGGGTGAGGTCCTGGTCGCGCCGTCGGAATCCCGAACCCGATCGGAAGGACCCCCCTCCCCTTGGCCGTAGCGCGCCGATTTCGACCGCACCCGCAGCGGTCATGACCGCGGCCCCGAGGCCTCGACCGCGGGCCGCGGTCATGCCTGCGGTGACCGCGGCCGCTGGGGATACATAGTTTCCTAGTACTTCCGACCCAAAACGGTTAGGGATACTTAAAAAAGATGATAATTTTTTTAGGATCATAGTCATCCCGTGGAAATCAGCGGAATGCGATATTGAGGTATGGGAAAACCCCGCCAGCACTGCTATCGATTAAGGAGCCGCGGTACTGGCTATTTCATCGAGTGTCATTGAACGAGCAGGATGAAGGAAGGATCTGATCACCTTGATGGAAGGAGATCATCTCGTCTGGGCGGACGAAGAGAAAATCAAAGCGGTAGGAAAAATGACGAACGTCACGTTTCGATTAGGAAAAGTTCACGCACTAGGAAACGTTATAGACTTATAGTACTAGATGTGAACACCTATGATATCCTTCTGGCATCACCGCCCCTCACAACATTGCGGGCCAACCTGGATTTCGAGAGGTGATCCGTTATCCTTCGAAACACGGGCGGAAAACCGTACGTTGTTCCGATGTGGCCGACTCTTCGGACCACGCCGGCCTCAACTAAGAACCCCCCACCTGGAATCAGAGGCCCCTTCGAGTGATTACTTGGAAAGAACCAATCCACGAATCGGATCAAAGAGGAAAGGAATTGAAACTAACCAGTGACTCTGACAGTGGAGACGAAATCGATCATGTGATACAGGAGATGGCTCAAGAGCTGATTCGTTACCCGTCCGGTAGAAGACCACGAAAACGTTCGTCCTCACGGAGAAATATCTACAACGAACACACGCGTTAATCTAAGGAGAACCACTTGTACGAATATCCCGAATAGTCGACTCTTCGGAACCCCCTCAGACCCTATACGAGGCCACTGCCCCGATTCTCTCGAGATATAGAGACAAGGGAGCATTCTGTGACATCTCCGGGCTACCTCGTTCCTTGTTGTCCTCGGGAAAGGAGGTGCGATTACTACGGCAGGGGGCCGAAGGCGAAGCTTTGGAATCCCCTGGACGCGACGACTCTACACCCTATGAGCTTGGAATCAAAATCGCTGAGAAACCAGTGTGCTGGCAGGATATCAGCGATGACGTGACCCCGGAAGAACATGTGGCCATCCGAGAGAAAGATGTTGAGATGGTCGCCACCGTGTTTTCTTGTCGGTCGGACAACTCCGTCTCTGCCCCCCCTGCGGAGAGCAGCCCCAGAGTGGGCACAAAGCACGTGACGGTTACCATACATGGACAACCCTACGAGTTACATGTGCCTCAGTTTGTACCCAATGAAACTCATCGATTGATTGCGGATATTCTGACCGAATACCAAGGGGCGATCGGTGTAACAGATACGGATATCGGACTGTCCTTTGTCATTCAACACGAAATTCAGACCGAGACTCACCCGCCGATCCACTGTAAACCATACCAATATTCTCTTGCGGAACAAAAAGTGGCATTACAAAGAATCGGAGAATTTGAGGCTAACGGATGGATCGAACCTGCAACCGGACCCTGGTCGTTTCCCGTGGTCTTAGTGCCAAAGAAAAATGGGTCGATTTGCATTTGCATTGATTACAGGAAGCTAAATGAAATCACGATTAAGGATGTGTACCCCCTTCCCCGGATTGATGATCTGTTGGATGCCATTGGGTGTGCTAAGTATTTTAGTAAGTTTGATATTTTCGTCATGAATTTCATCATATTCAAGTCAAGGAGGAGGATCGGCCGAAAATGGCCTTTGTGTTATTCGAGGACACCTGGCAGTGGGTCCGTTGCCTGATGGGAATTTGCAATGCGCCAACTACTTTTCAAAGAGCGATGAACGTCACATTTCAAAATTTCGTCAACAAGACCAGGCTAACTCAGGGCATGGTTAATTTCTGCGTTATTGTGTACATGGACGATATCCTGGTCTACTCGGAATAATTCCACGGGCATGCACAACATGTCGAATGGACACTTGGGGCGTTGCAGGATGCTGGCTTCAAGATTGCGTTGGAGAAAAGTGAGTTTTTCCTTCCGGAAATCTTATTCCTGGGGCACGTGGTGACTCAGGGAGGCTTACGACCGGATTCGAGAAAGGTCGCGGCCGTTCGGGATGCCCCTACACCAACGATGTTGACACGAGTCCGGGCCTTTTTGGGACTTGCCTTGTACTATCGTCGATTTATCAAGTGTTTTGCAGCAATCGCCCGGCCTCTAACTAACTTTCTATGTAAGGACCAACCGCTGAGTTGAGACGCCGAGTGTGAACGGGCCTTTGTCACCTCATAGGAGGCTTTGGCCACCGCACCTATTCTGATTTGGCATGAACCGGGGAAGCAATTCATACTCATTACAGACTGGCAACCCGAAGCAATCTCCGCTATTTTGGCTCAGAAGGGGAAAGACGATAGCGAACACGTCATCGAGTACGCTTCGCGAACAGTACCGGACGAGAGAAGAAACGATTCGGCTCCTCAGGGAGAGTGCTATGCCGTTGTATGGGGGATCTAGTGCTTCCATCCGTATTTGTACGGAGAGAAGTTCCTCTTCGTTACTGATCATGAGCCCATGCTGGCTCTCAAGAGGCTTACCAACTACACGGGCATGATCAGACGATGGGCTGTGTGACTGCAAGAATACGATTTCGATATCGTCCACCGGAAGACAGAGAAGCACGGTAACGTCGACGGACTGACACGACTGTATCGGCCTAGCAGGATGGCCAAGGGTGAAGAGATCATACCGTGGAAGGAACCAGAACCAACCGGCGAACTCTCGTACGGCTAGGTGGCCATCCTCCCTCAGACTTCTAAGAAGTGACCGACAGACATGATCGCGATGGACCATAAAGGTAATCCACCATGAAGGTAATCCCAAGGTCCTCTTTCTCCCCTCTCGTCTTCCTCTTTCCCTTCCCTGCCCAACAAATTTTGCTACTTTTGCGAAACAATCTCGTGGGTCTATTCGGTCCGTATGCATTATAGCGGGGAGGGGTATGTCGAGCGGGGAGGGGTATGTCTCCCGAGCCCACTGTTCCTGCATCCAGTATAGAAATGCAGGTAAATCCTGGCCATGTCCCTTGTGCCACACTGATAACATTCCGACAGAAGCTCGATTTCTCGAAGCCACGTAGGAAGGGCTGGAAAAGACCCGACGATTCAGAAGGGCCGAAGTGTGGACAAATGTTGTTTTGATAGCTCTAAGGAGAACCGGTGGAGGGCCAATGAGAGGGCACGAGACTACCGATGGGGCGAGGGACGGTTAGAAAAGCGGAAGACGGATGGTAGTGGGATTTGGATGTCTATGCCTCATCCGTTCATGAGATATGACTGGGTCAAGTCGGCCCACGAGGAAACGGTGGCCCACTTCGTCGTCCGAGTCACAGAGGTGGCAATCGATAAAAACGAATGGTACTGGTCCAATTTTCGCGATGATGTTAAATTCCTCGTCCGAAACTGTCCCGTTTGTATCACCGGCAAGGCCCCGATTCAGCCACCTAGATCGATAGTGCCCACTATAGTTGAACGACCGTTCCAAGGGCTTGACATGGATACCACAGATATTGTCGTGCCCCCTGGACAAAATAGATGTGAATATTCACTTCTTTTGGTATTGGTAGACCAGTTTTCGAAATGGATAGAGGCTGCTAAGAGGCGTATCCGTGTAAGACGCGACAAGTGGAGAAAATCGCGCGATATGTCAACCATTTGCTCGGGATGCATCAGGAGACCGAGGAAATCCTAACGGACAAGGAGGTAGAATTCCGAGGGGAAGTCTTGAGGAGCCTGGTCCTACACGGTGTCTCGATTCGCAATACCACTTCCCATATGTCGCAATCAAACGGACTAGTAGAAAACGCCAACCGGGTGATCAAGACAGCGTTACGACGTAATATTGCGGCCCAAGATACAAGGCCTTGGCCCGATATCGTCGACCATATCCTAGCTGTTCATCGAGGTACACCCCACGAGTCCACCGACCTGTCCCCTTTTCAATTATGGACCAATAGTGTGGCCTGTGTAGCCCTACCGAGCCTAAAAGATGAAACGACCCTTCCACGACGGGCCACTAGAGCAATGGTTAAAGACAAGGCCCAATGCCACCTGAAATTAATGGAAAAAACCCTCCCCTGGCTAGCCCGAAAACGATAGAGAATGACTGAAATGGCCCACGGATGACAGGTCCGGAGCTACGAGGCCCGAAATGGGAACGCTGGACCATCGCCCTAACATAAGTTAGGGGACATGGTGCAAGTGAGGAAATGTGCTCGCCAGGGTAAGCTAGCGCCACGATTCTTCTGGTGATTTTGCATGGTCGAACTCGGTCCTAGCGGAGTGAACACTATACTCGGCTCGTCCGATCATTCGACACGTGTCCTACCTTCGCCCTCTCCGTCTTCCCCTTCTCTTCCATCCTCCACGCCGTCCCCCGACGGCGAGGAGGAAGACGATCATCTCAACTACCTTGACCCTTCTTCTTCTTAGCCCTCATCTCTCGCGCCATCGCCATGAGTTTTTCCACTAAGCAGGTCATCATCGAGCGGCTAATGGTACCCGGGGGATCCATCTCTGCAATCCGGCAAGTACAGCGTCCTCGATTGAGTTCAGATCTTCTCCGATTCGCGGCCTTCTTCGGTACAGTGACTATTCACTCGGCGGCGGAGTTCCGATTCGCGCAGTCCGGGGCAGCACGAGTATTGGCTGGGGTGTTGGCCTTCTTACGCCTGTCCCCACCGGCGAGAGCCACGTATTAGTCATTGTCGTATTTACAGGCGACATCACGACACTACATGCAGCAAGGCACACCGCGATCCTCCGACAACTGCGAGACTGGGCAGCGCGCATCACGACTGAGTGGGTGCGATTATTGGCTCGGCCGCGCGATTGTGTCGTAACAGCCAACGACATCGATCTTCAGCTTCGGGTTTCCTCCCCCGCACCAGAGGTCGTCCTCCCGGAGCTTCGTCCTTTCGCCCGGCCTCAATGAACCGCCATCGCCTCTCTATCGTCAGCCTTCCCTTCGACATTCCTACGTTTTGGCAGTCTGTTGTGGACCCCGCTCTATCGTTTAGGATTAGGCAGTTGGACGTGCCGATTCTGGACACCGCCAAGTGGGCACAGTGGTGGCACGCTTACGTGGCACTCAGCTTCTGCCGCCTCGAAGTCGTTTTCCACAGGGTGGAACCTGCTGACAAAAGTCAGGAAGACGAGATCCCGGACGACGAGCCGAAGTTATTGATTGTCCTGGCCTGGAGGACAGATACGGAGGGTGAGCTTCTGGGGATCCTATTCGGGGAAGTACATGACAGCCACCTGGATTCGATCACAGACGAAGTGCTGGTGTTCTTGACCCAACTGGTGGACGACCTACCCTTGGACATCCTCTCGTGCTGCGACGAACAACACGGGACTGCCACAATCGCCCGTACCTTGGCCCCCCATCTCCTGTGGTCTATGTGCACAGAGCTCGACGGAGATCATTGCTGCTATCCCTCCGAGGGCGCTTACCTGGTCATCGACGAGACTGATCTCTCCTTCTGGGATCCTCTCATCCGGCGAGTGGACGTAGGAGAGACCAACGAGGAAGCTGAAGAGGAAGAAGAGGAAGCAGCCGAGGAAGAGATCGAGAAGGACGACCATCTTCAGTACACGGATTCTGAAGGAGAGGAAACACCAGAAGATGAAAAATTAGAGGTTGAGTCGGACGATCCCGATTATCATGAATCAGAGGACGCCGAGTCAGAAGAGGCCTGCTCGGAACGGAAGGAGACTAAGGAAGAAGAGGCCGGATCGGTTGAGTCAAGCGGTCCCGACGAACTAAGCAGGGAAGAGAGAGAGGTCGTAGAACAGAGGAAACGGACAGCGGCAGAAGGCAAGCGACCGATCGAGGAATTAGGAGGGTCACCGTCGCAATTGCTACAGGGCGATCAGGCACTCAATCCGGAACTGCCATAAAAAGAGGCCGAGAGAAATGGAGGCACTACGACAGAGGGATCGCGACGCCGGCGTCGCCGAAGAAGTGAATCCCCGGCCCAATCCCCTCCCCGCCCCAACCTTCACCTACGTCGAGATGCGGGCACTCGAGCTTCATCCCGATCGTTATCTTGTCGTCCCCATGACTTCCTCACTCTTCAGCAGCTCGTACGCCGACCCCCATTCCCTGACGGATGGCATCCCTTCCCGCCTTCCCGCCTTCCCTCTTCCACCGCCTCTATTCCACTCACCTCCTGATCACAATCTTCCCACACGTCACCACTCGCTCGCTCGCTACCTCTTTCCCCCTCCACGTCCTTCTCTTTAGCGTGGATTGGCAGGAATTCAATAATATAGAGTCGTATTATATCATCGCGGGCACGATCCCAGCGTGCGAAGGGTATGACGATTTCGGTGCTGCTATCCACCACACCCTCTGCACGCTCTATCCCGATTACCTCGCTTCCCTCCCCACCAATGTCGACACCCGTGTTTTCCCCGCATTCGCCGCATGATTCATTACACCCGACTCCCCACTGACGATCGAGAGATCCATCGCTCCATGCCTCCCCTTCCCCAAGTCCATCCACTATGTCTTCCGCCCGTTATCAGATTGCCTGTCCCGGGTAACGTTTAGAATGGAGCGCACGAATGCCACGTTGGATGACTTCCACACTCAGATCTCACGGTAAGTGGCACGTGGGAACTTCCCGTCGATCCTTGGTTTACGAGTCGACACATGATGAGAGAGCAAGCAGGAGCTTGCTCAAGATTGGAACCCCCTAGGCGTCCCATATGTGACGAACTATTTTCTACAATCGCACGACTTTCTGCACGAAGCAATTTTGGGGGTTGGAAACTGGTTGGTCGGGTGAAAGATGGAGGGTGGGCCGAGCAAGTTGTATAGACATCCGCGCTTCTTTCTTTCTTTGCTTTTGGGACCAGAGCCGGGAAAGTCTTTCGACGACGATTGAGTGACAGCGCCTTAGTGAGCGAGATAAATAGCGGTTGCCATAACTTCTTTCTTGTTCTACTCTGGGAGATAGGAATTTTGGCACGATTAGCGCGCAGGAATGTCGTTTTCAAATTTACAACGGATGGCGGGCTCTTGAAATTGTTTCTTTTAAGCTTTTCGGAATTTCTTTTTGCAAATAGGATTTAGACTAGGAATTTAGGTGCTCCAGAAGTTTGTTGCGCCACGCTTCTTGCTCGCGCACCTCTCACTGCAGTAGGAACTGGGCTCTGACTATATCGAGCCTTTAATCCGACATGTAACTATAATTTTTTGGCGGGCGCGATTGTAACTATACTCCTTCTTCTTGATTCTCTCGTGTTTCCCTGCCTTCTTCCCCTCTGTCGTGCATACCTCGTCCTCCACTCTAATTGGCCTGAGCGACTACATGATAGGATCGATAAGTGGAGTGTGGATGCTTCCCCCACGCCGTGGCTTGGCCATGCAGGCGTAGGCACTCCCTTCTCTTCCCCCTTCCCCTCACTTAGGCATAATCCCGAGTTCATCACGCAAGCATGCACGCTATAAATTTCACAAGTGCGATTAGTTTGCTCTCTCATTGGAAGTTAGCGCGGTCAGTGAGGATCGGCTAACAACTAAGTGAGAAGACGAGCCGAAGTGAGTCGGGCGACCCGACGAGCTGGTGCCGGGTAGGCGGGGTTGACGTGCGGGCCACGACGGACTGTGACGCACGGGCGAACCGGGCTTGCGTACTCGGACTAAGCAAGGTAACGACTTGGTGTTGGTGCGAGGCGACGGACTGCCCCCATCGGAGGTGATGTAGCGTGGGGAGAGAGAGAGAGAGAGAGAGAGAGAGAGAGAGAGAGAGAGAGAGAGAGAGAGAGAGAGAGAGAGAGAGAGAGAGA